GTTGCAGTTCCACAAACTATGAATCTCCATCATTGTTATTATTCGCTTACTCTAAAAAGGAGTCGCTCATTGATCCAGAATCACGGATCACATCATCGGAATTCTGAAGCACGACATCGATGAAGGAGAAGAATTTTTTCATCGATATAAAGCATGACTGCTAATCGATTCCGAAGCTAGAAATGATGGTTTGCGTAAGAAAATCCTGTCGGAAAACAGCCTTCCAATTTTATTTTATTTTTTATTTTTTTGAAGGGGGGTGAGAAGATTGGCATGAAATGTTATTGGAAAAGCAAATTTTCTGGGGAAAAAGAATTGCAGAACTTAGAATGGATCAAAATTTGATTTGTCGCCATTGGCTGTAACATTCTTCGTTTGCTCACGTTCAGGATGGAAGAAACACTATACATGCGAAAATGGGGAGTGGAATTTTTATTCGGTTTCTAAGAGAACTGGGAAATAAGATAAATAAAATACATGAAGCCTGAATTCATTTTAAAAAAGCCGTGAAAAAAGATGGCTTCATTTTTCAGTATAAGGTTTAGGTGCTGTTACTTTATTCTGGTGCTGTTAGAAAGATGCTGTAAAATATACTCCGTAAAATAAATTTGTGAATTATTTCGCACCCGTACAAATGCGAAAATTCTAAATTTCTTAGAATTTGTTTTATGGAATAACAAAACTGTTTTGCATGTTTACAAACTCAATTTAAGGTTTTTTTTTTATTCCGTATTTATTTGATATTCACTTTAGAATATTCTAATATAGCATTTTTTTCCACGAGAAGAGTTGTTGCATTTCGTTCCCATGAGAGAGAGGAATTTATATTCTTTAACAAGTACATAATAACAGTTATTACTCAAATTTGACAGCAGATAAGCAGTGTTGTGGATATTTATATTTCACGCAGTTAGTGTTTTCTACTAATGAGAAAAACCTGTCATTGAAATCTGACAGCGGATGATCAGTGCTATGGATAATGAGACCTCATGAAATTAGCGATTGTCTGTCTGACCTTCACAGGTCAAACCAATTACAGAGGGGATATGGACTACGTGACGAGTTTCTATATCGTGATGGGTGATAGATCATGGGACAAGGAAGTACCCACTCCAATGAGAAGTGATGGAAGCTGATGTGGGTGTGGTACATCAGCATTGCCTCATAAGAAAATAGGAGTGCTTTCATGGATGACCTCATTAAAGGGAATTGGCCCATATTTGTGTTAGGTGTGACCGGAAAAATTACCACAGCCCGGTGTTGACAAAGTGGCTTCAAAAGTACTCCATCAGCCTATTACTTTAAACAGCTGAGTAAAATGTGAGGAACATCAACACTGTTTCTTAAGAGAGCAGTGGTGCCGTTTTAAGTAGCATCCAGACGGGAGAGCATGAGGGGCAAGAGGCTTTCGCGAAAACTTTTCAGACTGGTTTGTTGTAGTGTGTACGAACACGGAAAGCGAGCTAAAGTTCTCGCGAAATTAAATTTCTCCTCCAGATAAAGTCAGTTTTTGGTAGCGGGGGAAGGGAATTTTCTCGCTGAATTTAGAAACCATTTTCGACAACTGTCATTCGCGTCGAACGTTTTCTAGCTATTTCTTAATGGAGCAGAGCTGAGAGGAATTGTAATTGCAAATGGAACTTTTTAATGAATAGAACTTTAGATCATTCATTAAAAAAAGTATTTAAGATTCTTTTTAACCTAGATTTTTTTTTTAGAACTTTAATTTAATAGCAATTTAAGTTAATAAATTATAATATTTAAAGAGTTTCTTATGAAAGAACTAAGACTCATTATTCATAATACGTTTTTTATCATTAATTAAATTTTAAAGTAGTATTTTTTCATACACTCATATATTTACATTCATTATATATACAATATATTTCACTCATATATTTTTTACTTAGCCAATCTGCTCATCCAGACCTCAACCAGATTCAACCATCAAATCATGGTTGTCCAAACTTCGTAATGCAAAAATCCGAATGTATTACAGGAATCAGTAACAGAACCATTGAAGATGCAAGTTTCTATGTTATTAGTACTTGCTTACAGCATAAGTATATTTATTAACCTCACAGAATCCTTTTTAAACATCCAGTTGGAGGATTTCAGAAATATTAAAAACTACTTTGAAATCTCGGTGATAAATAATTAAACAAAGTTAAATATTCCTGCAGAAATTTCTGCTGTTTTTTTCCATGTTGCATTTCATAATTGGTTTAGCAACGTTAACTGTCTAATTCTAAATGACTAAATGCTTTAGAAGATTGAAATGGATGGCCAGTTGACAGAACCTTAATTGCAGGAGGCATAACTTAGGTGCTTAATGCTGCTCTTGTGATCTTTCGACTTCATAATTTAGAAACATAGTCGAGTTACGAGGTTGGCAGCTGAACTGATGTACATCTTCTCGAATTTCCTTACAGTGCTGACATACATGTTTCGACCCAAGCCCATTTATCACATCAGATTTGTCAAGTGGTTTTGGAAGTCGAAATTTGACTTTTAGGTTGAAAATTGAGATATAACATGCAGTATTGAGTTGTTGTGGCTACAATTTTAGCACATATAAAAATATTTTAAAATAGATTAGATGTTTTTATATAAGATATTGGCCTACAAATATTTGGATGTTTTTCTGTAAGAAGGACACATTTTTTTTGCATTCTGTATCGATTTTACATAAAAATAAATGCTATGATAAATTTTTAAAATGAAAAATCAGTAGCGTTTGACACATGAAACATGATTCATGTTTGAAATACTAAATGTGAAATCAGCTGTGATTTACGTTTTACACTAAAAATTTTATAGATATCTATAAAATTTTGAAAATCTCCATGATCCCATATTCTTATTTACTTTACTTCTGAATAAACCTATACAGTATTCCTTTATTTAAACGCAGAATCGGCCATGGTTTAAGTTTTAAACTAAAATTTAATAGAGAATTACAAAATTTCGAAAATCTCCATTATATTCACTTTACTTTAACCTTATACAATATTGCTTTACTTGAAATTCCTTTATTTCATTATTGCTTTACTTGAAATTCCTTTATTCCATTATTGCTTTACTTGAAATTCCTTTATTCCATTATTGTTTCACTTATTCCTTTATTCCATAATTTCTTTGCTTAAAAATTATTTATTTTAATATTCCTTTACTTAAAAGTAAAACTGGCTGTGATTTAATTTTATATTAGAATTTAACAGATAGTTACGAGAATTTGAAAATATCCATGACATTCACTTTACTTCTGAATAATATTTTACAATATTCCTTTATTTAATATACATCGTACTCAATTGAGTGAAAGAAAGGATTTTGAGTCAACGTTAAAAACGTCTCGGAAACATGAAAAAAAAAAGCACTTGTAAATGGTAAGAATTTTTCTTCTTCTTTTTTTAAAAATTATCTAAGAATAAAAGTTTTTTAAGATTTGTTAGAGCCAATAAAATAATAAGGCAATTTAAAGAAGATTCATAAAAATCGTTAGATACTAGACATGAATAGCGTTTTTAATTAAAAAATATCACAATTGACTTTTTACAAATTTTATCAAAAAACAACAACAACAATAGATTAAAATGATTTACAAATTCGCTCTCTTATTAACTGAAGAAAAAGGAAAAATAACAATTCATATATAAAGACGAATGCTACAATTGCTGAATGCTGTTATTCAAATTTCGATTCATAAAAAAGGTCCAAGTATATCATGTTAAGTGGTAAGATATACTGTAGAATAATGGCTGTTGTTGTATTGATAAAACAACAAAACGAATAAAAAAAAAAATGAAAAAAAAAGAAGCACTTTAAAGATGGTAGCATTTAAACAACAAACATAGAAAAAAAATCGCAATTATAATGGACGAGTTTACAAAATGATATCTTCATTTTATGTATTTCTATTTTCTATTGTTAAGTTGTTTTAAATAAAAAAGATACAATATAATTTTTTTCCTTTGTCTTTCGGAATCAGAAGAATCCATACATAAATAATCCATGTAATAAATATAAATCCATAAATAATCCATATAAATCCATGACGTAAATGAAATAGATAATTTAGCAAAATTAACGTATATCAGTCAATTTCAGAAACATATAAATTATATGGTATAATGCTTGTAGCAAAATAAACATAACACATAACGATTATGATATTTAAATAATATTAATGTTTTTTAATTATAGTTATTTGAATTCAAATAAAAACAAAAATTCAAATAAACAAATAAAAAGTTTTTTACTGCCATTATTATCATTAAAGATACATAAAGATAACTTTTTACATGGAAGCTCATTTATTTATTATTATTTAAGCTAATTTAATCATGGAATTTCATTTATTATTGCTGTATAGGAATGTAGGGTCTGAAATGACACGTCGAGGCACGAACACATTTTCAAACTAATTTCTCGCAAATGCCAGGCACAATGCTCCAACCAATACTCATCACGTTACGAGCTTCAAGTCCTCTGGTTGGAATCCGGACGGCACTCTATTTTATTCTTATTCTATGTTTGCAACTGTGTTTTGATTTGCAAGATCCCAGTTGACTCAACTGAGAACCTCGTTACTCGAGAATCCATTGCAGCTGCAAAATGCCTGGTATCAATCACTAACATTGACGCTACCAAGCATGTATTACTGTTGAGGATCGCAATTTTTATATTTTATTGAGAGCATTGAATCAAAGATGCACTTTGCAATGATGTTGTTGTTGCTGTTTCTTATCCCACTTGGCTGGCCAAGCCCACGAGACCATATGGACTCATGATTGAAGGGGAAGGAAGCAGCTTCTGTTGTGATGGAGCACCCGTAGGTAGAAGCCTGATTTTTGCTCCGTGACGCTCTTACAGTCATGGGAGACCGGGACCTACGGCTTAAAGTGGATTCCGAACCACTACAAACATCCATGGCACCGCCGGGATTCGAACCCGAAACCTGTGGCACCGAGCGCCAGAGCGCTGGTCCCAAATTTGCCAACGGCACACAGTGTTCCCAGGTGGTCACCCACCCAAGTACTGACCGCGCCCAATGATGCTTGACTTCGGTGATCTAACGAGAACCGGTATATTCAGCATGGTACGGCCGTTGGTGATGATTCAGCATGGTACGGCCGCAATGATGCTGTAACTAAACAATGTTTCGATTTTCATATCATTTTTCGTGTCTAAACGTATAGGGTCGGAAGTGACGCGTTTGTGCCTCACTTCAAACTCTACATTTCTATACTAAGCTGTACCACTCTTCAAAGTTTCTCCTATAACGGTTGAATCACCCTATATAAAATATATCATATAGTAGTAATACTACTGAGTTTTTAAAGATCTGGTATCTTAATTATATTTTCAAAGAAGTATAAGTTGAATTAATTTACATTTTGTCCACACTTCTTAAATTCTATGAGACAAGTTGAAGCATCTGGGACTTCAAATTTATTAAGATTTGTGTTTGACAAATTGGTTCGTAATTTGAATATTCAGTCAACACAGCTGCGGAATTTCTAATTGCTTATTAAAACGTTACAAAATGGATGGAAAGAATCACCATATATTTAATTAATATCCGGAAGAGTGCTTTTGACAGATTTGATTAATTCTTTCAAATCGCTCATTAATTAAACTGATGATTAGAAAGTGCGACATTTCAATCACAGACTCAGAAACCATAACAAATAGTTTTATAATATTTGATGATTTGATGTCTTGAGGTTAAATCTAGGGATTTTATTGCCAATTTCGAAATAATAACCTGAAAAATATATAAATGTCTTCGGTTATCAGTGAATTTGAAAACAGATTTTTGATTTTCAAAAAAATATTTTTTTCCTAATATGGGTATTTGGCCTACTTGTAGCATATTGGTAACTTTTCTCATCGCAATCATTAGCTTCAATCCACCTAAGACTATGTAACCCCTATAAGATAGTAGCGGCCTGATGGCCAAGAGGCTAGCGCTCTGGCCTTTGGTATGACAGGCTGCAAGTTCAAATGACGGTGGCATGGATGCTTGTTA